TCCTTCGTCTCTCCTCCCACCTTTCATCTGTGTATGTGTGTACGGGATCTGGGTATCGTCTATGAATGACCCAGACCCCACCATCTCATGATTGTATGTGTGTGGAGTGATGCCATGTAGGTCAGTCTATGTGAGTCAGTTCGTTTATCAGACTTCCGCTGCATACATGCTCATCCTATATTGGTTGATCTTTGGTTCTGCCCATACTCCTCGAAGTATGCAACAGTCGGTGTAGGCTAGAAGTAGGAGGGGCACATCGGTTCAGGGCTTTTTGGCAGTTGGTACCGAGTACATCGCTGCTGCGCTACGCGTGAACCGGAAGTGGTGACGGCTCAGCGTGGAAGGAGACAGGCATAGCCAGACCTTCGGAGTGCAGGCCATAGCTGGAACCTGCGCTGTACTCTGCCAGCATGTAGGGGCTGACAGAGGTCTGGGTTATCGAGGTCTGTTGGAGGCGAGAGAGATTGGTGCCTTGCTGGACCGTCCTCCGGAGTGGGGTCCCAGAGGGTTTGCGCTGCAGCCATAGCTGCAGCTTCTTCATCTCAGAGGTCATCTTGTCAGGGTTTGGTGGCGCTGCTGCAGACTTCCACCCGGGAAGTCTTCCGACACTTCGTCATCATCAGATACTGTGGCGCTGGTCTTCTTCTTCATCCTGTGTGTAGCGCTTGGCCTCAGAGGCCTGGTTCAAGGTGGCGCTGCCCCTAGGAGGCTGTATCTGGGTGACGCTTGATGATTCAGGGGCTCAGGGGGTGTTACGGGTGTAACTCAGGGTTGGGGAATGAAGCACTGCTCATATCTGAGCACGCACTGTAGTACTGAAGTTATCTTGACAATTCGAGACTGTGAGTTTAATAAACAGTGTGATACTGTGTTTGGACTATCATTGTTTCATTGTTCTCTGGATGTGATCTGCTCGGCTTTTCTCTATGACTGGTTGTGAGGATTGAGTGGAGTGAATTGCACTTTCAGTGTACCCTGTCATATCGCATGGTCAAGTCTTCCGCTGTGTTTATCTCTCCCTGTGCGGTGTRAYACTCCTATCCTCTCCCCTTCCTTCTGTGTATGTATGGGCATATTCGGAAGTCTATGTGAGTGAGTGTTGACCTTCAGGCAACGAACAACCAGAACCATAACAGTTGGTATCAAAGCAATTGGATCCAGGCTCTGGAGCGATTGATGAGTTGGAGCACCCATCATCATCTGGCGAGATACTGGAGTTGAGTTTCATGGCGATTCATCATCTTCAGGGTTGTTGTCAGTGAGGGTGATGGTGGTGAGTGTGTGGCGAGAAGCAACAGGCAGAGGGTGACTCACTCCTGACTGGGATTGTGCAGGAGTGGTTGGCGATTGACACTCAGAGGCCTGGGAGGCTCTGAGAGGCTAATTATAGCCTGGCGATTCACCTGGAGGTTGGCAATTATCAGGGAAGTGATCCCAGGAGGTTGCGATTGTGGAATTGGGTTAGGATCCCCAATTTCCCAGCAGCGCAGTACAGGGTGATGTGGCGCTGCACTGACCTTGTCAGTTATTGACACCTGGGAGTTCGAATTCTCTGAATCTGTCAGTTGGGGGTGAAGCGCCTCAGGGAAATCTACAGGATCAGAAGTTTGAGGCAATTTGGTACGCGGGAACATTGTATACTGTCAGGAGATGAAACTGGCGAGATGGGGTTGACCAGTCATCCATAGCCAGGGTTTTATGCATCTTCCTCAGATTTGACCCTGAAGTAAGTGTGTTCCTTACTCCATCCTGTGTGGCGATTCTGGGGCTATTTTTAGAACATTGAAAATTGGTCTATCTGTTAGGTGACAGTTGAAAATCGAAATTCAGAATGTGGGACAGCCATATCCAACTTCCCCTACCTATCTTCTTTGACTTCTACTAACCCTGTATGACCTTCCCTCTGGCTCATATTTCATCTGGGACTGCTTTACAGTATTGTGATTCACACTGTGCACTGAATTGGTGGATTCAGGGGTCTGTTGTCGGTGATAATGCAAATTTGAATTCTGCGCTGACATAGCCAAAGCTAGGCTAGACTAGGGTCAGTCATAACTTTGATTCTATCCGTCAGAATTCGGTTTTGTCAGCCCCTGGTAAATCACAATTCAATATTCTAGCAGTGTCTGAAATCACACATCCAGATTTGATGTTCTGAGTCAGTTACAGTGAAAACTGTAATTCGCCATACCCAGGGTATGCCGTACAGTCATACAGTGTTGAGGTCAGTAGGGTAAGTCTAAAAATAGGCTATTTTGTAAATCGCTGCATCTTGGTTATCAGTGGAGACCTGTCTAACCCTAATTAGTCACTCTGTCTGATTGCCAATCAACACTAATTAGTCCAAGACTGCATCCTGTCAGTTGCTGATTCAGGATTTGCAATTATTGTTTGCAATTGTTGTGTCAGGGCAGGGATGGAAAAATCGTGAAATTGGTTTTTGCCTGAGTGGACTTTGAACTAACCCTGACCCTCAAGCGGTCTGCTGAGACTGAGCACTCACTTGCTCAGACTAACCAATCTTCTCTCTCCAGGCAGGTGACAGCAATTGAATTAGTACTGCAGAGAACATTCAATTCCTGTTACGTCCTGCTCTGTCTTCAGTGTTTGTTTGTTTTTATTTATCTGTATTGTGGGGAGCAAAATGGCGGACTCAGGGAAGGCAGAGGTGCCTGAAGAAGTTGAAAGTTCTGGGGAGACACCCCAGGTAAAGCTTGAAATGAAAGTGCAGCCTGCAACACCTGTGACGCCTGACCCTTTAGAGGCTGAACTGCGGGCCCGAGAGGAGAAACTCCGCTTGCAGACCCATGCAGTTGAGAATCTAAAGGCGGAGCTCAAGAAGAAGGAAGAGGTTGCTCAGAAAGAGGCCAAGAGAAAGATCTTAATTGCAGACATGCATAAGATCATGGGCAGCGGTTCTACCAGTCAGGTCAGTAAGGATATGGCAGAATTCATCCTTTTACAGGATGATATTCACCGGTCCTACTTCACTAACTGGGATGACCGGATCTCTAGTCTGGAGACCAGTCATTCAGCCTTGTCCAAAAAGTTGGATGACATTTCAGCCCAGTTGAACAGCACCGTGACACATCTGCAGATTGCACCTGTTCAGACTGTTCCTCCACCTCCTGGCCCTTCTGCAGCAGACACCCAAAAGACCCCACAATCCAGACTTGCAACTCCACCCTCTACACCCAGATCAACAGCAGCTTCACAGCCCTCGTCACGATTTGAGTTTCAGCGGCCTAAGCTGACACCGCCACGCATGTTCTCAGGTGAGGACCCAAAGGTGGATGTGGCAGACTGGGTTGCTGCATAGAGAACCTACCTGAGTGGGTTCAAATGTGATGAGGATGTGAAGGTGCCAGCCATCCTTGCTCGCTTGGAGCGATCCGCACTGAAGTGGTGCACTTCTACCTCCAGCAAGCAAGGTATGGAGATGGCTGATTGGGCGCAGAGGCTGGGGGTGGCTGGATTTCTGCAGGCCCTGCAGGACCGGTTTGCAGACAAGGAGCAGGCCAGAAAGGCAGCAGACAAAATTGTGCACCTGGGCCAGAAGAAGTTTGATGGCTCCTTGTCCAAGTTGTATTCCCCCTTTGAGAGTTTGACATCGACTCCTGGGTTGGAGATGAGTGAGCAGGATCTGCTCATTCCTTTCCTAAGGGCAGCGCCTGAGCAATTCCAGCTTGCTCTTTTCTCTCAGGGCCACAAGGACTGGCGGTCCTTTGGCAGAGCAGGCCTGGACTTGGAGTCCAAACTCCATGTCCAAACTCCATGTCCAGGAAGCACCTTCTGAAGGAAGGAAGGGACCCTCCTCCAAAGGGCGAAAAAGGAGAAAGGGTGCCCTGTTTGCTGCTGCAGCATCCGGATCAGATAGTGACGCAGCATCCCAGGGTGGGAGCCCTCCACCTGGGACTGCATCATCATCTGCTGCACATTCTGCTGTTCTTGCCCTGGCTGATGCTTTGATGGGTTTGACTAAGGGCAAGGCCCCAGCCCAGAAAGCATCAACCAGTAGACAAGGGAAAGGGAAGGAACGTGCCTCTTCCCCTGGTGCCCAGAGAGTACCTTTACCACAAGACGTCCGCTGGCCAACTGACCCACTTGATCCTTCCACCTACCCCTGGCATGCACTCACGATCCAGGAGGGGGTTTGGAGGAAGAGGAAGGATAAGGGGGTCTGCCTTAGATGCGAGGGGGACCATTTCCTCAAGGACTGTCCCAGCATGCCTCGCAGGTCTACAGGCAGCTCTAGTTCAAAAAACTAGAGTAGAGAGAGGTGGAAGCAGCAGCTCCTTCCACGAGTGCTGATTCACTCTCTGATGGAGGTGAATCTTCGCATTCTCTCGCTGGTTCCTCTATTTCTGGAGTTGCATTATCAGGGTCTTTCACTTTTGAAGACTTTGAGTTAGATGAGACGTGGGAGGAGGACGATGCTCAGACCATTGTTGATCTTTTCCTGTCCTTGCAGGAGAAGAAAAAGCATAAGTCTGAACTCATCCTGCTTCGACCCTACATCCTAGGAGCCAAGATCAAAGGGCTCTTAGACTGCGGGGCTACTCGCAACTTCATCTCTCCTAAGGCAGTCAGCAAGCTGCACTTGGACCAGAGTTTGGTGAAATTGCGACAGCCTTTGGAGGTCCGCATTGGGGACTCTTCCACAGTCAGGATTACTACTGCTGTCAAGGGCCTACCTGTGTCCTTTGACAAGCAGGGAGAAGTCAGGCACCGCCTGAACTTCTATGTGTTTCCTAATGTTCCCTTTGACCTTGTCTTCTCTATGCAGTGGCTTGGCGCCACAAATCCTAGGACTGACTGGCAGATCCCTAGGGTTGAGCTACCTGACCGGCATGGGGTATATCGCTCTTGCATGCTCACTCACGAGTACCATCCAGCCAGCAGTTGCTATTGTATGAGTGCTCGCAGGTTTTTGCGCTTCTCACGCCAGACGGACCACGCCCGTCTGTTCGTGGCTTATGTCAAACAGACTGACGTGGAGACTGCTCCCTGTCCCTCTCAGATTCAGCAGGTGGTGGACAGCTTCTCAGATCTTATGGAGGAGCCTACTGGACTTGTCCATAGGCAGACCAAACATAAGATGAAGATCCTACCGGGCTCGGTCCCTCCCAAGGGCCGGGTCCACAGGATGTCTCCTGCCGAACTTGAAGAGCTCAGGAAACAGTTACAGACCCTGACCAGCAAGGGCTGGATCAGACCCAGCACATTTGAGTTTGGGGCACCAGTCCTCTTTGTTCCAAAGGGGAATGGTGAGTTCAGGATGTGCGTGGATTACCGTGGTCTCAACAAGATCACGAGGAAGTCTACAAAGCCTCTTCCTCATGTTGATGACCTGTTGGACATGGTGCAGGGCTGTAACATTTTCAGCAAGATCTCAAATCTGGCTACCACCAGATTGAGATGGCTGAAGACGATGTCCACAAGACAGCCTTCAAAACCAGGTATGGTACTTATGAATACCTGGTTATGCCATTTGGTCTTTGCAATGCGCCAGGCACCTTCCAAATAGAGATGCACCGCATACTGAGGCCTTACCTGGACAAGTTCGTAGTTGTCTACCTTGATGACATCTTGGTATTCAGTCGCTTTGTCCAGGAGCATGCGCGGCATCTGGCTCTGGTCCTCCAGGCCTTACGTGCTAACCAGTATAAGATCAACAGGGAGAAGTCCTCTTTTGGGGTTCCCTCTGTAGTCTATCTGGGGCACGTGATTTCTGGAGAGGGGTTGGCTCCTGAAGCAACGAAAGTTGCTGCAGTTCAGGACTGGCCGCGACCTGCTAACATTCGCGATGTCCGATCTTTCTTGGGGCTTGCATCCTACTACAGGAAGTTCATCAAGAACTTCTCTCCGATTGCTGCGCCATTGACTGATCTCACAAAGAAAGACACTTCCTTTCTTTGGACATCAGAATGTCAGGAGGCCTTTACACGTCTCAAGGAGGCCTTGATTCGTGCCTCTGTTCTAAAGCTACCTGACCCTACCCTGCCTTTTGTGCTTACTACTGATGCTGGTCAGTATGGGGTAGGAGCGGTACTTCAGCAGGATGATGGGAATGGTTTGCAGCCCATTGAGTACATGAGCAAGAAGATCAAGACCAGGAAGCTGCAGGACTCTACCGATGAGAAAGAGTTGTACGCTCTTGTGTCAGCGCTCAAGCATTGGAAACACTTTCTCCTGGGCAGACACTTGAAGATCTTTTCAGATCACTCCACCCTCCAGTGGATGAAGTCCCAGGGAGAGTTGAATGACAAGCTTGCCCGCTACATCCAGTTCATTGACATGTTTGACTTTGAACTGAGACACAAAAAGGGCTGCTACAATAGGGTAGCAGATGCCCTTTCTCGTAGGCCTGACGCTCTGTTCCTGATCTCCGTTACTCACTCATTTGGGGAGAGGACACGTCAGACTATTGCCCAGTTGCTTCCCCAGCATGAGATCTTTGGGCCTATCATGAGGAATCTCCAGGACGATCCTTCCTTTGAACCAGGATATACTCTGGTTTCAGGTCTACTGTACATGTGCAGCAAAGGTGAGGAGCGCCTGTGCATTCCCCAAGATCGCAAGCTGAGGACACTTCTGATGTCAGAGTGCCATGATGCTCGTGGTCATTTTGGGGCCCTCAAATCTTATGCAGCCCTGTCGCAGCGCTTCTTTTGGAAGGAGATGAGGAGTGACATGCTGCACTATGTGGAAACCTGTGAGTTATTCCAAAGGAACAAGGTTGTACGTCGACCTCCTCTTGGCCTACTCAAACCCCTACCTATCCCTGACGCCCCTGCACAGTCAGTATCTATTGATTTCACTGACTTGGGTAGGACTACACCACGAGGTATGCGTCAGGTCATGGTATGTGTGGACCGGTTCTCCAAATATGCAGAGTTCATCCCCTTACCAGCTGAGGCTCGTGTGCCAGCCGTTCAGGCGGCTTTTGCTGACAGGTGGGTTACACATCATCGACCACCCACCTCTATTGTCAGTGACAGAGATCCCTGATTTTGCAGCAATGAATGGCAATCCTATTGCAGGGATTACCTTCATTCCAGATTGGATATCACATTTGGTCGTCATCCTGAAGCCAATGGTCTGGCTGAAGTGATGAACCAGATTCTATTCCAATTGCTGCATCCTGTGATCAGTCCAGATCAGCAGGACTGGGATATCCATTTGAGTCGTGCACAGCTTGTGTATAACACGTTTGTACACTCCTCTACCGGTTTCACACCCTACCGGTTGCACTGGGGTCGTGAACCACGACAGCCTCTCGATAACATTATCGACAAGGCTACCCCTACGCTGACACCTGGAACTACAGAGTTCACCAGGCGTTACCGTGTGGACATAGAGCGCGCCCGTGCTAACCTGTTGAAAGCCCAAAAGGCTATGATTCAACAGGCTAATAAGCACAGGCGTCTTTCTACTATTCGCACAGGTGACTGGGTGTGGGTACTCAGTTCTGAGTTGTCACGAGAGGAGGACATTTCGCCTAAGTTGCTGCCGCGATACATGGGTCCATGGCAGGTCTTAGATACAGTGGGAGCTGATCCATTTGGACCGTCCTACAATGTGGATGTCCCTCTGCATTTACAAACCTACCCTGTCTTTCATGCATCTAAGCTGTTGCCATTTACGCCAGCTGATGCATTTCCAGACAGGCCTCCTGAATTCGGTCCCTGTCCCTGGCAAAGGGTATGAGGTCGAATCTGTGGAGGATGACTCAGAAACAGGTCCAGATAAGGAGTATCTTGTGAAGTTCTTATACCAGCCACACACTGAAGACCTCTGGTTTACTCACAAGCAACTCTTGAAGACAGCCAAGTCTGTCATCCTCAAATACGAGGCAGCATAGAAGGGGGTATCCCTTCGGCGCTCTGCACGCCTTCGCCCCTAGCTCGGAGGTCCTCGCTCCGGGGGAGGGTAGGTCTACAACGACTTGCTATTTTCTGGTCGCCTGTAGCCTCTCTCTGTCGAGGCTGTACTATGGGTAGGATAGATTCGTAATTTTGTTTGGCTGAGGGCTAACCAAGAGACCTACCTGTGAGGGAAATTCTTGAGGGACATATCTGCAAATCCGGGAAAATACAGGCCCGGTACTAACAGGTTCCCTACAGCTACCTAACTGCGCATAGCAGGCCCGGGCTACCCTAGGACAGACAGGCCCTAAGGGCCTATTCTGATAGGCGGTCCTATAGCCTATAGCCGGGTCCGGTAGAGGCCGAGAGTCCGAAACAAAAACGGTACCGGTCGGTCAGTCAGTCCGGTCTAGGTCGGTGTGGGCTAGAAGTAGGAGGGGCGCATCGGTTCAGGGTTTTTTGGCAGTTGGTACTGAGTATATCGCTGTTGCGCTATGTGTGAACTGGAAGTGGTGACGGCTCAGCGTGGAAGGAGACGGGCATAGTCAGACCTTATGAGTGCAGGCCATAGCTGGGACCTGCGTTGTACTCTGCCAGCACGTAGGGGCTGACAGAGGTCTGGGTTATCGAGGTCTGCTGGAGGCGAGAGAGATTGGTGCCCCGCTGGACCCTCCTCCGGAGTGGGGTCCCAGAGGGTTTGCGCTGCAGCCATAGCTGCAGCTTCTTCATCTCAGAGGTCATCTTGTCAGGGTTCGGTGGCGCTGCTGCAGACTTCCACCCGAGAAGTCTTCCGACACTTCGTCATCATCAGATACTGTGGCGTTGGTCTTCTTCTTCATCCTGTGTGTAGCGCTTGGCCTCAAAGGCCTGGTTCAGGGTGGCGCTGCCCCTAGGAGGCTGTATCTGGGTGGCGCTTGATGATTCAGGGGCTCAGGGGGTGTTACGGGTGTAACTCAGGGTTGGGGAATGAAGCGCTGCTCATATCTGAGCAGCGCACTGTAGTACTGAAGTTATCTTGACAATTCGAGACTGTGAGTTTAATAAACAGTGTGATACTGTGTTTGGACTATCATCGTTTCACTGTTCTCTGGATGTGATCTGCTCGGCTTTTCTCTATGAGATGTCTGCTTGCTTTGGCTGCTCGAGCTGTTTGGCCGCAGCTCTCCAACTCTCGGGCACGTAGTAACCGCCAGTTTGATCGCGATGCGTGGTGACTGCGTCAACATGCGATCGTTATCTGACTACATGGAGGTGTAGGTTTCGGAGGAAGTAAGTAAACTCGGAGGTTTTGTAAGTTGGTTGCATATGG